TATATAAAAACAGTATATAAAACTATATTAAAATATCTATTATTTCTTATTATATAATATATAATAATGTTATATATAATTAAATATAATATTATCTTATATTTCAGTCTTTATAAAATACGGAGTTATGGTCTTAAAGTATATTTTCTGTGTCATATATCAGCTCTATTTCAGAAAATATAAAGAAATTATTCTGGATTTTTAGACACATTTTCTCATTTAGACTAGGACTGATTATCAACTAGAAACACCAGAAAAACAAAACAACTTCTGTATTTAATACATATTTGCTATGTAAAATTAGTTATATATTAATTATATTTTTTAACTGTAATTGCATGCTACACATATATTCATACAAATTATTTTACTTGAAGGTACACATGATTTTTGTATCTGACAGTACTGACACATAGTAAGTAATAAAGGTTGACAAAATGTTATGTTTTGTCTTATTTCTCAAGAAGTGGTGAGAGGACATATGTTGGCTGCTGCTATGGTGTGTGTGTGTGTGTGTGTTTGGGGGTTTGTGGAGCACTTACTCAGACAAATAGGGTTTTGGAGCATGAGCTTCCTCCTCTTGTCTCCATTCCCTCCACATCTGGGTAGCCAGGCAGTGACCAGCTGAAAGGTTGTGGGAAAAAACAATGTTTTTTTAATCAAATCCCTTGTTAGGACAATAACCCTCCTTTACAGGCATATTTCTCCTTTCCCCCCTTTCCTAACTTCAGATGCAATTGTGGGAAACAGAAGTGCAAGTGCAACTGTTTTTTTGTTGGTAAATTAGTGTTGTGTCTATTACCGTCAATGAAATGACTTTTTATTTTGATGAACATCCAAATGTGGCTGTAGAATAAAGCTGCCATCACATTGGTGAAAATTCAGAGAAAAAAATTTGCAGACCAAAAATGTCAATTGTCTATGGTCAATAGTGTAGTGATGTATAAAGCACAGCTCACACAGAAGTCAGTTTCAAAACAAGCAGCTTTATGTTGGTCAACCGCCAAATTTAAGTGACCAACTTGAATATGTTTCAAAAATCTGCGAGGGGAAATCTTTCGCACACACGAGATCACATGGATTGCTATTGAAATGACTGGATTTTGCCTGTGAAAATTTGCAGAAAGAGGCAAATGTGACCGCACCTTAACAATTCATAATGGACACTGATTTTTAATATATCTTAAATAATATTATATATCAAGAAAATATTAAGATCTATCAAATATCCTTTCTTTTTTCTCTTAAAGTTCAATTATAATATCAGTCAAGCTTTTTGCACAAGAACAATCGAAATGTAACTTTTACGACCATTTGCAACATACTCTCTGAACCTTCAAATTAAACAGGTTTTCTGCACCCATTACTGTCTAATACAGGTCTAATACAGCTCGCACTGCCCTATTATTCAGTTACAGATTTTGGAAAGCCTATGTTTAGATTGTGCAAGAAAAAAAAAAGTGCTTTTTGCAGTTCCAAATTCCAAAATTTGGATTTACATTTGGAGTTCAGAAATTATAGAATGTTTTCAGAGTGCAACATTTTATAACGAAACATCAAGGAAAGATCCAACTGGATATCAAATCTTTCACATAGAGCAAACAATGGAGAAGGATATCACCTAGAAGACAGAGAAAGATAAGCAGAAAGCTGTTCACGTGCACAGCAGATGGGATCGTAATGAGCCTGTTCCTGAACTCCAGAGAACAGGGGTTTGGGGTTTATTATTTCTCTGCAGGGAAGTCGGAGAATGCATCTTCTTCTCACGTTAAATGACAGAGGTCAGAGAGTTGGGATAGAACGAGCTGACAAGGTGTTTCTTCTGGTCTTGACACAAATAGCTTCTCTGTGGCAGAGATCATCAGTAACACGAGGGGCTGCTGGGTAGACTGATTCTGCAAGGTCTCTTTTCTCAACACCCCCTCCGCAAACACCCAGCAGCTTTGTTTATCACAGATTGTTTGAGGATGTGTGTGTGCAAGTGTGAGTAGAGAGGTTGCAATCATTTGATAGTGAATGAACAAAGAGAGAGTTAATCAGGCCAAAGTTAAGTGGAAAAAGGCTGGTGAGAAATTGAGATCATTAAGGCTCGTACTTCAGGCAACTTGCGTGCCACGTTCTACAGTAGAGAACTGTGGACAGACACTAGCATATGCACACATATAGAAGGACAATGAGGAATGCTGATGGCCGAAGCTATAAGCAGAGAGAGTTATGTGCTGAGAAAGTGTGAACATTAAACTGATCTATAGAGACATCACACGGGGAATGTGTCATTTACATGTCGTGTGAGTGCTAATAGGGGCTGTACCGCACCTCTGTGCAGGCTGATGTTTCTCTCTCCTTGGTATGTGGTGTTGCAACTTCCTGTGACAGATTCACATGGGCACATGTCGTGGCATTGGCACGGCTGCTTGCAGTTCAGCCCGTAGAATCCAAGAGGGCATTCTGGGACGACAAAGAGAGCAGAGACACAGTTAAGATAATCTATTCTAAAGCAGCATTGCATGCATTACTCAAGGCAATTCTAGAAGGCATTGCAAGAAAGAAAGGTTGGTTAAAAATATGTTTTAAGTTATGGAAACTTCACTTAATATTTGTGTGTGTATTAAGTATTTTTTTAGCTTATTTTAGTATGTGTTAAGTTTTGTGCTAATGTCAAACTGTTGGACTCAATGAAGAGCATTAGTCAAGTACTTGCTGACATTAAATTCCTGCCAATGAACAGCGTTTCATATCAGACAAAGCATTACATCAAAAGCAATTCAATTTACATTCAACTGACACTTTCATCCAAATTATTTTATTTTTCAATTTATTTTTCAATTTTTTTTGTTTATTTATATATACACATAAGTGTATTTTCTCATCTTATTTTTTATTATCTGTGTGTTGTTTGTCTCTGTGTACTGGAAGCTTGTGACACAAACAAATTCCTTGTATGTGCAAACATACTTGGCAATAAAGCTCTTTCTGACTTCTGACTTAACTTACGCACATGTTTTATGACATAAGCTTAGGCGTCTCTTAAACATACAGGTGCATCTCAATAAATTAGAATGTCGTGGAAAAGTTCATTTATTTCAGTAATTCAACTCAAATTGTGAAACTCATGAATTAAATAAATTCAATGCACACAGACATAAGGGGCTCCTTTTGCTTTAATTACTGCCTCAATTCCTTGGATACAGCACTCTGTGAACAGCCAGCTTCTTTGGCAATGAATGTTTGTGGCTTACCCTCCTTGTGAAGGGTGTCAATGATTGTCTTCTGGACAACTGTCAGATCAGCAGTCTTCCCCATGATCGTGTAGCTTAGTGAACCAAACTGAGAGACCATTTTGAAGGCTCAGGAAACCTTTGCAGGTGTTTTGAGTTGATTAGCTGATTGGCATGTCACCATATTCTAATTTGTTGAGATAGTGAATTGGTGGGTTTTTGTTAAATGTGAGCCAAAATCATCACAATTAAAAGAACCAAAGACTTAAACTACTTCAGTCTGTGTGCATTGAATTTATTTAATGCACGAGTTTCACAATTTGAGTTGAATTACTGAAATAAATGAACTTTTCTACGACATTCTAATTTATTGAGATGCACCTGTATATCTGGAAATATAAATCACCCACATGTTAAATAGGTTTATCAAATGTGCATCTGTCAATATACCGAAAGCAGTTGAGATTAGACTGCATACCTCTCTCACAGAAACCTCCATGGAAACCAGCAGGACAGGTGCACTGTCCGTGAACAGAATCACATGAGCCTCCGTTTGCGCATGCACATGTTTGATTGCAGTCATCGCCATAGAAACCTGCTGCACATACTGCGAGGATACAGACAGATGTTATTCATTGTAGAAGTATAAGCATTTTGGTTTAAAATATCTAAAATAACCACTGCTGACTTTAATAAATTCTTATGGAAGAGTAAATGACTAAATGTAAATGTAATGTAATGATCTCCAAAGTAAAGAGCCACTCAGATCTTTATTTGATAATTTAGAATCTGTATGACAGGCAGCCAAGCTGATTTTGCACTGACCTTGGCTACAGTTTAAACCCATCCATCCAGCATCGCACACACATCCATCTGTTCAGAGAGAGGGACAAAAAAGGAAAAACAGAGAGAGAATTGTAGTTAATGGGTTTAAAAAAAAAAAAAAAACTTAAATACTACCTTAAATGCAAGATAATTTTCTCTGTTAAAAACATTCATTAACTACAAATAATCTAAGTTTTTAGTAATAAATTTCATCTAGTGTAAAGGATGTAGTTTAAGCTACATGCCTTACAGTACAAATCAATGTCAAATGTCGGTAACACTTTTTTACACTAGCCTTTATGCATAAATCATTAGAAAGGTATTCATCGTAATGCATTATATATTTACATAAATAACTGTAACCAAAGTTAAAATGCATTATAATATTTGCAGATTCCTTGTTACATCTGAAATTGATTGTTTGTCAATATCAAGTTATGTGGCTACTTAGTCATGTATTTAGATAAGCAGACATAATGAATATGTTATGATGAATAATGCTTATTACAATTATTACAAGGATTAATGAGTTACATTTTCTCAAGGAGTAACAATGAATAGATGTGTTATGTATTATAACTGTGGTTAGAATTATTAATGAGATCATATAATGCATAATAGGGTGCATTACAATGCTCAATTAATGAATTAAAAAAAGCTTCAAGTAAAGTGTGACCATAATGTCCTTTTGTGATGTAAAGGAGTGTATGAGAGAGAGCGACTCACTCTCAGTGCAGATTCCATGCTCTCCACATTCAGTCTGGCATGTGAGATTGGCACATCCTGGGCCGCTCCAGCCCTGCTGGCACACGCACTGGCCCTCCACGCAACGCCCATGTCCGCTGCAGTCCTCCGGCTGGCACAGCCTCTCATGAACACACAACACAGTGGAAACCGCCCGTGGGCAGCGCCACTTCGGAGTTTTGCTGGGATTTAGGTGAAAATGTTGTGATAAAATTGCCAAACTCAGCACGCTGTTGTTTGCAAATGTGTAGTTTTGCATTTACACACCAGTGGTCTGAAGGGTAATTGGCCAGGGATCCGTTGAGGATATAAGTGGCCGAGCCGCCTCCATCCAGATTGATGGCGTTAATGACATTCTGTTCCTTCAAAAACTTTGCCACTTGCCAGAGGTTCATTCTGCAAAGATAGCAGTTTAGTAAACGCGTGCAAAAATAAACTGAACCTGAACTTCTGGTACGCACTAGTACGTATTTGGATTTAGATGGCCCACTGTGGTTTACATAAAGGTTTTAAAACCAAGCCGAAACTTTTGAAAAGCAAGCTGCAAAAATAGGTTATTCAGAAATCATATGTCACACAACCATGAGAACACAACTTAGCCAACCATAATAAAGGTACAGATAATTTATATATAAATCTTATGCATGTTTAATTTCATTTAAGGGAAACGTTGGTTTAATTAAGGGCCAGAGTGACAAGATTTTTCCCTTTCTTTTTAAATATTTTTCTAAAGTAAAACATTATTCTAATCTCATCTAGAAATCATTGAAATATGCTGATTTGGTGCCCAAGTATTCTTATTATTTATCAATGCTGAAAACAGTTGTGCTGCTTAATATTTTTGTGGAATCCATGATAGATTTTTTTTTTTTAAGGATTTATTATTGAATAAAATAACAACATTAATTTGAAACTAAAATCAATTCTTTACTGTCATTCAATTTAACATATCTTCACAGCAAAAAGTGGGGAAAAAAACCCTTACAGAACCCAAACCTTTGAATTGTATTGTATATTATGACGTTTTGTTGCATGAGACCTTGAGTATCATTACAAGTGAACTCAAAGAAACAAAAAAAGCTAATAAAGTCATGAATATACCCTCCCTGAATGAAAAAACGCATTCTGCTTTTGCATTGTCTTCTTGAGCAAGGTTCATTTTGGGTTATTTAGTGTTGTAGCATGCACAGACAGACAGACAGGCAGAAGGGGAGGAATCAATGTTTACAGTGATAAACAGCTGAGATCGGCTCGGGTTCAAAGTCTATTCTCACCCTCTTACACCCGTTTGACCATCGACGTGGAAGAGGATGAGTTTGCCCTCTGCATCGTGACCCACTGCCGTACGGGCAGATATCACGTCCACAAAGTACTGGAATTTTCCTGCAATATAAAAGATTAATGACCTATTGAATGTTATATAATAATCTTGGAGCATAGATGTATTCAAAAGCAAAAGGACAAGTGCCTGAACTACTGCTGAAAATACAGTTTTTTTTTTAATGATATAGGGTATATATATATATAAATAACACATTAGGGAACCAGATAAACAAGCTTATTATATGCTCACACTTCAGACAGAATTTTGTCTAATCTTACCGGTCTTCTGTGTTTCGTCACATTCTGCCTGGATGCTCTCACTGATGTAGATCTCACCGTTTCTCAGCAGCCACACCACCCCACTGATCAACTGCACGAAGGGGTTTATCTGATCCAGGATGTCATCCTCAGACAGGTAGCTAAGAAAATACACAAGAAAGAGCAAGTGAGACAGATCTAGGCTGGTAACTGAAAGGCTGTAGGTTCAAACCACATAACGGGTTTGCCTTTGAAATATGTTTTAGGCACAATTTTCTTTCCTGTGTTGATGCATCTCCTATTGAAATAGGAAGGTGGGTTGGGATATTTTTTTGTAAATAACCAGTAGCCATTTAAAAGTCTCTTGTTCATGCTCATCAAAGCTGCATTTATTTAATCAAAATTATTTATATCAGAAATATTGTTTACTTATTAAAATAAGTGCTTTCTATTTAACTATTTTTAATGCATAATTTATTCTTGTGGTGGCAAATTTTCAGCAGCAATTACTCCAGTATTCACGGTCACATGGTCCTTCAGAATAGGCCTGTCACGATAACAACTTTTTGTTGTGCGATATATTGCCCCAGAAATAATTGCTATAAGCGATATTATTGTCATTTTAAAGACCATTTTATGCCACTGAATATATAATCATAATATAACAGCATAATAATGCAAGAAGTTAATTCTTACGAATATTTAGATCACGGAAATTAAGTATCAAAATATTAGATACCTTAAAAAACCTGAATAAATAGTAAATAACAAATTTCTAACAAAAGTTAGAAAGTGCAAAGTAACAAGTAGAAATAAGAAAAATGCACAAAGAACTTGTATGGAGATTTTTCCCATCTACAGATTTTTCCCTGACCTTCTTTTCTCTGTAAATTAAGGGTGCACACTATTGCTGAAAAACACAATCACTACTTAGCAGTCAGATGTCCGTATGCACAAAGGCACAGATCCCTAAACAAGGCCATATCTGCAGATGAAGCATTTTTAAAATTTGAAATAGCACCTCATGACTACACCACATTATGTACGAGAGGCTGCAAAAGACAGGCACAAGTGGAATGTAAAAAACACGGTGACATTAATTTAAGTAAATATAATGGGCGATATATTGCGTCCCCAAAAATGATTGAGGTCATGTACATATATTGCGCGATAAGTCGATATATTGATTATTGCGACAGGCCTACTTCAGAAATCATCAGAAATCATATTATGATTGCTGAAAACAGTTGTTCTGCATAATAGGATTTCATGATACGTTGAAGAACATGGATGTGGATTTTTTTATAACATTATGAATGTATTGTAAATGTAAATATTAATTTGGATTTAAAAAAAAAAAAAAACACCTTACTGACCCAAACTTTTGAACGGTTGTGTTCACCACACTTGACAGACTGCACTATGGACTAAAGCAATAAAGGCACTTTCAAAACAAATACATTCTAGCAACTTCCTTTACAAAAAAAGCTGACTGTTTGGAAAGGCAACAAAGTATAAATATTATCACAACCAAAGGCACATGAACCATGATTTGCTACTTACTTCTGCTAGCCAGACGCTATTTTAGTGTTAGAGAAAGAGCATTTACTTTGCTACACTGAAAGCTAACAGGCATGAACTAAAAGCCACAATCTTTAACACCATGCTGGTCCAGAAGGTTTTCCCAATAATACCCGTATTGTATTTCACACTGGATAAAAGTGTGAACTAAATGAAAAACTTAGTAATTAGCAAAAAGCAAACATTTGATTTGATAACGATTACAGTGTCAGCAAAGCAACACATAAATAATCCCTTGCTAACTGGCTGACCATGTGCACTATTTTATACTCTATGACTATAGGCTGTTTTGAATTCCTTAAAGCTCATCCAGGTGAACGTCAAAATATGCTATATAAACACCTTATCTAACGTCAGAACATTCCGGTTAAAGGCCCTTAACGTCATAATGAATGACAGACCGAAACACTGGGTACATAGCGTTCCAAAGTACTGCCTATTATTAAGCGCACTGGCGCATTATGCAATATTGCCATGTTTTTGTAAAGTTTCTATTTTAGGAAACAGATGTTCTAGGGGCCCAGCATTCCCACGACTTACTTCCTCCAAATTCTGCACCCATATTTAGGTTGAGGTTTGTTACAGCACCCTGCAGTGCAGGAAACCACTTAGACATATGCTAACTGATAATGTGGCAGTGCACTCAAGTACACTCAACTAAATATCTTCTTTTGTGTTCCACAGACGAAAATAAATATCATATGGCTTCAAAGATGATATTGAGAGAATTTTCATTTTTGGATGACCTATCCCTTTAAGGGTGTGATACAGATATAAAAGCACAGCTTAATTATAGGCAGGTCAAAAGTACACCAGCACCCAACCAGGAAGGTCTAGCTCAATTTTCTATTGTTTCTTGAGTCTCCACAAAAAAAACAAACCATGTGGTATTACAAAACATCACTCCAGCCAGGAGAAAGACTGTAGAGAATGAGACCTTTGGCTGTGTCCTTACCCAAACACTAGCGTCCCATCCTTTCGGATGCCAAACTGAGCATTTTGAATTCCTCCACTGTTCCTCACCAGTTTCCCATCACTTATGACATTCCCCAAACACTGCCCGTCTGCAATGTCAAAGAAGCCTCCATTCTGGGCGACGAGGCACTTTCTAGTTTTGGCAGTGAGCTCCACCAGTTCTCTGTGACTCCACTTGCACCCTGCAGGGCCTCTTGGTTCCAGAACGGACACGGATCTCAATGGGTCATGAACCTCTGTGACGTGGCCGCTCGCCCATCTGTGAACACCAGAGTCATCTGTTCTGTCGGAGATGAATATATTTGACTCGAACACTGGAGAGTTCGAGTGTTTGCTTGCTGCCCAGGTTTCATGGGTTACATTGCCATGAGTGACGGGCTGACAGTCCCTCACATGGCGGTGGGAATGAGATGGGCCGTGGGATTTGGAGTAGGGTAACAAGAGATCGTCATCCGAAGAATGTCTGTGGAAAATGAACATGATTATATCATTGAAATAAAGAGCAAATTGTGTTTGTTAAGCTAGTTAGGTTAATTTGGAGCATGTGTAACGGATTCAGAGAAAATGAATCCCTTGAATTCTAGATCCTACATCTCAGCATGTAGATGTGGTTAATTGTTCTGTCAGGTAAGCACATTTTCATGTGTACATGTTTCTTTCAGAGACACCTGTTGTTTAGCATACTTCTCAATCTAAACCCAAGACAACATTATCTGAGAAAAAAAGGAAAAATCAGTTGAGGAGCAGCTGATGTTTAATTGCGCAATCCTTATGCAAGTCTCGGTTCAGCATGTGGTTGCTGGGATCCTCTTACACTATGCAAATTCAATATGCAAATTAACTGTAGATTCAGTTGAGAGTGCGGTACTGTACTGTAAGCGTGTGTACACAAAAACTAATGAAAACTCCAGTTAAGACAATAATGCTTAAAAATAACTATTTACTATTCTGCAAATTTAGCTCTATATTAGGAAAATTGATTAAAAACACACAGCAGGGGACGCTGTTGTTAAAGTCTTAAATTTAGGTAATTTTAAAATACTGTTGATTGACAAAATATTAGTAACATTACATATATATATATATAAACTTTTACATATTAAACTTAAAAATATTTATATTATATAACTGAAAAATATGAAGATCAAAAATGAAGGAAATGGTTTATCTTATATTATTTATAGCATATTATTTCTGCATGTTGATGCACAGTGAAGATTATTTTCCAGTCAGTTAGCTGTAGCGACTCCTGCGCCACTAATGTCACCAAGAATATAATGACATAGCGAATTGCAAGAATGTGTTTCCGAACAAGCGTCCCAATTTTTTATTTTATCGATTTATTTTATGTTATTTTATTTTTGCTGTTTACAAACACTACGTCTGTCAAAGAGACAGGTAATATATAATATGTTACATAAGACATTTTATGAATTCCACTCTAAAAATTACAGCATCTTTAAGAGAAGAAGCAACCATATATTTTTCTTCCTTGTGCAATAATTAGGCAACTAATGAGGGATGAAACTGAAACCTAATTATAAAGTATTTTATAATAAAAAGCTAATTGCAAGCGATTTTCAAAATAAGTCAAAACTGCTAAATACATCAACTCCTGAAGAACAGGCCACAAAATTGTAATTGTAAATCTCCATCCCAACCAGGGGATTGCAAACATTCAACTTCAAGAGTTTTGATCATCATCTGCACTACATAATACACGTCCTTACCGGAGGTCTTTGCATTGGGACAAACATACTCCTAGGTATATAAGGACGAAATTCACGGACGATGTTGCCATAAGACGTACGTATGATACAATAAAATAAAATAAAACAAGTTACTGTCCCGTTTATATCCGTTTTCTTCGATGAAAGGACTTTCACGTGTGCTGGTCATATGATGCGAGTCACGTGATCAACTGATTTTGTCATTCATGTTTTCGCTCGCTGTAAGCGCAAACAACTGTGCAAAAACATTTAATGTAAGTAAACTGCATTTGAATGAAAAGTTATTACATTTTAAATGCCATGAAAGTAATATGGTTCACTCCGAAGCGAAACTTAATTCGATTTACTTTTGAGCGGAACGTACTATTAGAAGTGCTTGCTTACAGGGGAGTTGTAATATGACGCACACGTTACAGCTCAAGGAGACCCATTGCATGAGGTTTGCAATGGCATCCAGTATAAACATAAAGAATGGACTTTTAACCACCAAAAATTCTCTCCACATAAAGATTCCCTATCCCACATTTAAACAGAGGCCAACAGAGATCAAATGCTCAAGAGCATTAACAACGGGACAGCACAATGAACAGTTCTGTATTGATATTGTAAGGTAAGTTATTATTAGTTTAAAATAGATTCACTTTTAGTAGTTTTATCGTGTATCATGTTTATCATGTATCCCAGAATACCTTTATTTTTCTCTGTCTTTATGTCAAATTGAATAAGAATATATGGCGTGACACTTTTTAAATAATAATGTAAAATGCAAACATACATTTTTTTATGCTTAAAGTTCATGGTTAAAATTGATGTCAATTGTTAAAATCAATGCTAGAGATGTCTAGGTAATGTATCTGTCCAGAGATTGAAAAAAGAGAAAACTTTTCATTAAAAATCTGAAATGTATAATGTATGTATATATGTTCTGGGACTTTTTAAAATGAGGAACGCGATTAATTTATGTCATAAGTGTATAAATTCAGTGTAGAAGGAAATCATTTCAGTACTTTATTTAGGCTTAGTTTTGTAAATGTAGGTTATTGACACTACCGTTCACACTGAGTGAATAACACTGTACTGTCATCAATAGGAAGAGGGACTATGAGGGATTTTTGTGTGCATTGCTTTTTCCTGAGGCTGTTCGTCGATCTGCACTGGCACTGAGGGCGTTCAATGTAGAACTGGCACAGGCAGGTATTCCAGCTAATGAGTGCAGCAAAACTCTTTTAGTCAGTTTGGTTTAAGCTAATTTACTTGTTGTACAGATATAAATGTGAATCATAGTTTGAAAACCAACTCTTGAGACATAAAAGTGCCTGAAACACTCATATATGCTCATATATTTGCTTTTTTTTTTTTTTTTTTTAATAAAAAAAACACAAAAAATATATTCTTCAAATACTAAATGCTAAGCATAAGTATGTGTGAAGTATCAGAACATATATATATATATATAGCTAGCCTTCACACACATACCAACAAAAGTTAAAGTGACATGAAGCCAAGTATCATGTCCCATACTCAGAATTTGTGCTCAGCATTTAACCCATCCAAGTGCACACACACAGCAGTGAGCAGTGAACAAGCACACACACACCCGGAGCAGTGTGGGGTCCGGTGCCTTGCTCAAGGGTCTCGCCTCAGTCGTGTAAAGAATACTGTACATTCACTCCCCCCACCTACAATCCCTGCCAGTACCAAGACTTGAACCCACGACCTTTAGGTTACAAGTCAAACTCTCTAACCATTAGGCTACAAATTTTTCATTGCTTGGAGATGTAGGGGATTGAACCCAGTTTGCTCATTTTTTTGTTTTTTTTTTTTTTTTTTTTAGATTAAGGACTCTGTTTCTCAGAAAACCATTGGTTTAATGCGAATGCAGTTCTGGAAGAGCGCTGTAGAGAATATTTACAGAGATAACCATCCAGCCCAGCCCATCAGTGCAGAACTGTGGAGGGTGCGTCTTCTTTTTATAAAAGAAAGATTCTGTCATAATTTACATAAAAACTACCATTCAGAAGTTTGGAGTCATTACGTTTTTTTTTTCAAGACTTTAATGCATTAAATGGCTCAAAATAGACATTTCTAATGTTACAAAAGATTTTTAATAATGCTTCAAATGAATGCTGTTTTTTTAACTCTCTTTTTATCAAAGATTTGTGAAAAAAAACTGTATTTGTATTACTGTATCTTATGTCAAGTAAATGCAGTCTTGGTGAGCGTAAGAGACTTCTTTCAAAAACATTGAAAAAAAAACAAAAAACTTGGCAATCCCCAATCTTGGCAACAATAGTGATGCCCTTTGAACTTGTATGACTTTCTTTTTTTCTGTCTAACACATTTTTGAAAAATGTGTCTATACAATGACAGTCTGTGTCCAATGTTGTTTGGATCAAAGCATTCTTTTAAATATAGATCAAAATATTGGGCACTGATATACTATAACTGTTCTGTGTTCTCAGGCAGTAAGGAAGCACACATTAACAAGGAGGTGGATGTTAAGAATTATATCTGAAAGAGTAAGTAATTAGATTTGTCCTAATATATGAGGAAAAAAACATACTGGAAAGTTCTCTTTAAATAACTGTGACAGCTGTCCGAGAGACATGCATGGCTAATTCTAGACATTAATCTGTCATTCAGTGAGTCGGCATATTACGCACATTATACTGTCCTCTGGCAATTGTATTAAAAGCATTATGTTTTGAAAAGGAGAAAGATCTGGAGGACAAAGCGTACAGGAACCTTCAGGAGCTGGAGGACTATGGCGAAAACACACAATCCTCTCTTCTTTACCTGCTTCTGGAGACACTTGGTGAGCAGACCTTTTTGATCTCCAACTTAAAGCAATAGTTCTTTCAAAAATGAAAATTCTATCATTTACACATCAGTATGACTTACTTTCCTCGGTGAAACACTGTAGATGTTCGGTGGAATATTAGGACCTGATAGCCTCAGTCACTATTTACTGGGATTGTAAAAGGAAAAAATTGCAGCAAAATGTCAGCCACCTGAAGGATAACTGAATTCATTGCTTCCATTTTGAAAGGAACTATTAAAATGATGTTATTATAGCTTAGTTATTATAGCTTAGTCTTATCATTTGTTGATTTGCACTGTGGGTTTGCTAGTAAACGTAGTTAAAGGTAAGAATTTTGATGTTTTTGAAAGGCTCGCCAAGGCTGCGTTTATTTGAATAAATCTACAGCAAAACAGTTATATTATGAAATTATGAATTATTGTTATTAATATATTTTAAAATGCTATTTATTTATTTAATTTTTTTCCATCGTAATGGCAAAACTGAAGCAGCCAGTACTCCAGTCTTCAGTGTCACATGAAATCATTCTAATATGCTGACTCACTGATCAAGAAACATTATTATTATCAATGTTAAAAATAGTTGTACTGCTTTTTTTTTGTTTTTTTTTGGAAATGGGGTAAATTCTTTTTAGGGTTCTTTAATGAATAGACAGTTCAAAAGAACAACATTTATTTGATTTAGAAATCTTTTGAAATATTAATTTATGTCTTTACTTGACTTAACTTTTGATCAATTTATTGCATTTTTGCTTAATAAAATTCTTCTTTTTTAATTTTGACCTCAAACTTTTAAACTGTTGTGTAGTTTACTTTACCCCATCCTTCAAAAAGTCTTAATCAGAAAAAAGTCCACTGGTAATATGCTGCAGAAACTAAACTAAGGAATTTTTGACTTCTGAAATTGTATTGTTTTAAAGGTGGGATATTAGATTTTTCATGATATGACTCATATTTGAGAACACCTTTTTTGATTAGCAAGACAGTATTGGAAATTCACTATTTTACGCAAATCTGTTTAAAACTGGTCTCATAAAGTTGTATGCATTGTGGATCTTTTTTTAACATAGGTGTGAAAAATGTCCATGCAGACCATGCCGCAAGCCACATTGGCAAAGCCCGCAGACGCAAGGTCTACCTGCCCATGGACATCTGCATGCTGGTGGGTAAATCTGCTATCACCCTGTCATCTCTGGTCCTGTCTGAAATTCCATGCTTTTCTAACATCAGAGGCACTAGTGAAGGACTAGAGACAATCCATGTGCCAGTCAGCATATATGTGGGTGAAGCGGTCCACTCCAGTGCCTTCTCGTCTGCTAAGCCCAAACCCATGGGCTTTGTTTCAGCCATCTGTCGCCATTTCAGCATGAACGAGCCATTAGAGTTGGGATTTAGAAGATCTTTCCCTTAGTGTAACAAAAGAAAATAATCTTTTATCTGTCGTTTATCCTCAACTAATCTCAGCTAGAGCCAGTGTACAGTATTAAGATCAAATTATGTTATGTAGATTGTTTGCCGTGTGATTGCACATTCACCAAAAGGGGGCACTGTTGTTTCACCATAAACAACATGGACATGTTTGGTTTCTGAGGTTATTAAATGCTCACTAAAACATAATGCATTTTAAATAAATACTTCTTTATATGTAGGTTTTTAAATGTTTTGCTACTTCATAGGTAATTATTTGATTGTAGCATGAGGAAGTTCCTTAATAATTGTCTTTACTTATTGTTTTGAAACTTCCTTTCTTGAGGCAATAATGTACAGATAAGCTTTTAAACCTGTAATTGATGTCTTTAATAATGCATTGGATTATGTTGAATTAAAAGAGACAGCGAAACTTTGAAGGTTTATCTACATTGCAGCTGTTTAGAGAATATTTGCTGTGAGAATTGTAAACAATATTAATGTGCAACCTGTCAAGATTAGCCAAATATGTTTGTAAAACAATGCAAGGTGAATGTGTGGGTGTTTCTTTGTTAGGTAGACTGTAAATACAAGCCTCTGGGTGTCTGCAAGCCATTTTTGTCAGTTTAAGGGCTCTGTTTGACGTGAAACCCCTGTTCAAGAATCAGAACAGATCAATGATAGATAGCCTCCCGCCAATTACACTGCCTGGTTATTCATGATGTTGATTGCCTTGCCAATGCTTTATTCTGCCATACAGCTTTTGTTTGAGGAACAATTGGCTTTTAAATTAGATGCTAAATCAAAGCTCCTGCAGTATGTGTTTTAAGGCTGGATAAAAAATATCGATATCTCGATATTAATCGATTATCATTTTTACGGAATGATATCGATTCTTAAATCCCAAGAATCGATTAGTCCTGTGTTTATTGATCACTTGCTATCGTGGATTTATTCGTGTTTGTTCAGATCACAGTTGAGGCAGTGCGATCACAGGGGACACTTGAGTGATTGTTTATGTCATCGTTTGAATCAGTAGTTTCTCACATATAACTAAGTGCAATTTCAGTAAATATTTCTTCTGAAGAAGTCTTGGGATGCCGAGTCATAAACACATCACCTCATGTTCTGCATACAGATTATCACATTTTCATCCAGCATACTAATTTCTTCTGCTGTTCAAGTATTTTTGTTGAATGCTGGAAAATCTATAAAGATGAATCTCATGAAAACTCAAGAAATGCCTGAGTCGTATTTCACCCCAAAACCCAAAGAACATTTTTTTGTGATACTGTGAATTTATATTATTATATATAAGACCATGACAGTATTGTGCCATTATTTTCGTGAATCTAGCACATCCTCCCCTACAGTAAAGTGAAAATTAATGTACTGAAATTAATGAAAAATAATTAAAAAAAAAACAAATTCATAGAAATAAAAGAGAATATATAATTATAATATATCCAATAATGATAATATAATTGATAATTAAATAATAATGATTTTTTTATTACTGATGAATGGGTTTTTTGTATTACAGTATTAAGAATTTAGGAGAAATTAGGAGGAAATGTTCTTAATAGTTTTGAAATATGAAACTATATAGAGGTAAAATACAGGTGTATTGTTGTGATGGTGCCTGAAATATGGAGGGATGAAAAAAAGATTGTGGTATCATCAAGCTCATTTTTCTATCTATCAGGAGAGGGTTACTGATAATGCATTTTCACTGTTTCTCACCCAGCATGGAGCATCTCAAGAGGACTTCATCCGTGGCAGCAGGGACCAAAACGTCAGGGATGTCATTTATGACATTGCCAGCCAAGCCCATGTCCATCTCCAGCACGTATGCAAAGCCCTTTACTTTAATATCTGTGGTCAGATGGGAGATGTTGACTGTGTTGTATGTTCCCCAGTAATTTTCAATTTGCATACTAACTTCATTAGATTTCACAATGTCACCCCTCCTCCACCAGCAGCAGCTCTGATGACCCTTGATTGTTGCCCTCTCCTCATTACTGAATTTATTAAACGTCCAGTGTAACCACAGGGAATATCTCGAGGAAATGCTAATCAGAGAATTCGTCAGATATTGCTCACCCCACTTTGCATATCTGGTCAGGTGGTATGAATCAAGGTTAGCACCAAATTACCTTGGTGAGGACCACATTTAAATCACAAACAAGGGCCAAACTGAAAATGTATACTTTTAATCTAACTTTTGCTGAAACTGTGTGGGTTCAAATTTTGTGTGAGTCATGAAAACATGTCTGAGTCACATTTCACCTCTTCAGAATACCATCTTTTTGATTTTCGTGATAGTTAAGTATGTTTCCCCCATAATACTGAAATGCATTCAGATGTTTAACTGTTTTTTTGCGATTCCTATTATTCTCTGTGGTGATTCTCATTACTATACTACAGTAAAAACAAATTCTGTATTAATAAAATGAAAACATAATGCGAAAGTACTGTAAAATACTGTAGTATTTCAGTAATTCTTACAAAATAATAGAACATTTATCCAGATTCAGATCAGAAAAATTCCAGCATATACTACCATTGGGAGTGATTATGGAACTGTCATGAAAATAAGTCATAGTGCAAAAAATGCTACATTTTCAAAGAAAAATATGTCTTTTTAAAAAATATAATTTTTTTATATTGGTGGTGAAATATGATCTGCACATGTCCAGGTTTGTTTGACCTAATTTGATTCACCTAGTAAGGTTTTTGTGATGTAAAGTACTATACAGCTCAGCTGTGAGAATTTGATATCTTGTTTTTGATATCTTGACTCGTTACTACACTACGTCTTCCAGGCTAGATCATTCAGCGAGAACGTTCCACATGCGGCCATGCCTGCCTTCCTGCAAACGGTGAGTAATTTCATCTCTTTCAGCTCCTCTCCCCTCCCTACGCCTCACTAATGTGATGTGACACAGAGAAGCTCATGGCTTATCCTCATTCTGCCTCCAAAAGAGGCGGAGCCCCATCGAGCCACATGACTCCTGCCCCCTAGAAGCACCACTACCAGCTCATGGTCTGATTACACATCTTAAGCCTTTTTTACTCTTTTACAGTCATTTCTCTTAAAGGGAGCCCGCCTCGGAGGAGCTGAGGGAATAACTCTTAGCGTATTACGAGGCAAAGCATAGGGAAGCAGGCTGTAATTTTCAGTCCAATTTCAGCCTATTTGCCGACTCTTCAGTGTTTCAATTGCTTCGGCCAATGAAATGCTTTCTGTGAACTAAATGGCCTGTAAAGCATTTTTATATCACTTTATATTACTTTAATGTTCTGCTCTTACTTTCCATTTCCACATCCCTTTGTTTAACTGTCAGTTGCATTCTTTAAAGCCATCGTTTCCTTGCAGGCCATTTAGTAACACATTGCGCTCCACTTGCTTTGGCTGGTGTTAATCGTAACTGTGTTATCATGAAAGGAATTTACTGTAAGGTTTGGCATTTGAAGATTGTATTTTGTATTTGGGTTCATTTACAGGCGCAGGAAAAAGTATGTGAACACTTAGGTATTCTTCTTGTGAATTGTGAACTTGTTTTTATATTATTTTTATTGAGCTCGTCGGTCAGTAGCTTAGGGATTCACATGCGTTTTTTTTCACATGCGACTCTTTATGTGGTAATTTTAAATTTTTTTTTAAGAAATTGAATGCCTTTATTCAGCATTTTAGCAAGGAACATTAAAATGATAAAAAAAAAAATGCTGTCCTTTTGAACTTTCTATTTATTCGAGAATCCTGGAAAAATATTATTTCAACAAAAATATTAAGCAGCGTAACTGTTTGAAACATTAATAATAATAAGACATGTTTTCTTGATCACCAAATAATCATATTAGAATGATTTCTGAAGGATCTTGTGACACTGAAGACTGGAGTAATGGCTACTGAAAATTCAGCTTGTCATCACAGGAATAAATTAAATTTTAATGTATATTAAAATAGAATATGGTTTTAATTTGTAATAATATTTTACTAATATTTCACTACTGTTTTACTGTATTACAGCTTTACTTCGCATAAGAGACTCAAAAACATGAAAAAAATCTTACTGACCCCAAATTTTTTGAACAGTTGTGTATGTTCAATGAAGACAAGAAAAAAAAGTTATTGAAGTAAATAAATTGAGTATATATATTGTTATGACTTTTTATTTATTGCATACTTTTTCCTGCAGCTGTATCTCAACCCCACAATATCAAGAAGATCATTTAAATTCTTTGTTGACCGGCTGTATCATTTTTGCCTTTGGTTCTTTTTCTTTATACTTTTGCATTCTTTCAATAATGTATTATCCTCCAGGCTTGCACAAAAGTAATTAAATGAATAGTTTCTGATCTTCTTTGTGTTCGGTCCCTCAGGTTGTTTTGGAGGACTACCTTCAGAGAGTGAGAAAAGCAGACTTTGATGTGTTTCACCCCAGCCTACAAAAGAGGAATCCAGTGCTGCCCCTTCAGCTCTATTTACGATCATGGAGGAAGATCTATTCATTTGTTTGATTAAATCATCGTCTGATTGTTGACAGATGAGTCAAACAAACAAAGCAGTTGTAATAAATTATCTAGCTTCTATATGTTCAGAATGTTAAAGTATTCCTGTCTTTTTCATGGCTGAAGTATTCGATAACTCAATTTCCAAGCTTCACAGAAAATAACCACAATCAAAACAGTCCATTAAATTAAAATGTGTCTGAACTCAACAACAAATATCTCTAAACATATTTTGAGAGATAGTACAAGCTATGTCAAACTGTTCTGAATTTGTTAAAGTATCTGCATAGTGTTGATGGCATGAATCGAAGCAAATATTTTCCCAACTTGGTCTGTGGAACACGTTTCATAATAAATTCAATTATTTAAGACATTTGCGAACAAATTGGCAACAATTGAACATATTTTATAGGTGAGGAATGTGTCTCATGCCCTTTCTGATAGGCAAGGTCAATCAATTGTTTTTCACGCTGCAATTGTGATGCAAGGTGGCATATTTTAGTGGCACAATCATGAGTTTATTTAGTCATCAAAAATACAGTCCTCCCACTGCCACAAAAGCTCTTATCTGATCGACAAGAAAACAACTCCTGGCTGTTTGTGACTGCTCTTGAACTGCAGAGAATATTTGGCTGGGAGCGAGGTCCTCTGCGTTGCTTTGCTCAACTCATTCAGTCGCTTTGATAAAGGACAGAGATCTTGCAGAATCTGTGAAAATGTGAATAATTTTAACAAAATTAATAAGAGAGATCATACAAAATGCATGTTATTTTTTATTTAGTACTATCCTCAGTAAGATATTTTACATAAAAGATTTTTACATATAGTCCACAAGACAAAAAAATAGCTGAAATTATTAAAATAACCCCCTTCAAAAGTTTGGGAACCCTTGGTTCTTAATACTATGTGTGGTTACCTGGATGATCCACAACTGTTTTTTTGTTTTGTTTTGGTTTTGTGATGGTTGTTCATGAGTCCCTTGTTTGTCCTGAACAGTTAAACTGAGCACTGTTCTTCAGAAAAATCCTCCCATGTCCTGCAGATTCTTCAGTTTTCCAGCATCTTTTGCATATTTGAACCCTTTCCAGCAGTGACTGTATGACTGAGGTCAATTTTTTCACACTGAGGACAATTGAGGGACTCAAACACAACTATTAAAAAAGGTTCAAACATTCACTGATGCTCCAGAAGGAAACACGATGCATTAAGAGCCGAAAACTTTTGAACAGGATGAAGATGCCCAAATTTTTCTTATTTTGTTGAAATATCTTTTTTTTCCCCATTTAGCACTGCCCTTCAGAAGCAACAGAAGATACTTGCATGTTTCCCAGAAGACAAATTAAGTACAATTTACCTTGATCTTAAAATACAAAAAGTTTTTAATTTTAATTAGGGTTATATCTAAACTGTGCAGGGCTGTGGACCTCCAGGAACGGAGTTTGACACCCTTGTTCTGGAGCATCAGTGAATGTTTGAACCTTTTTGAATGGTTGTGTTTGAGTCCCTTAAGTGTTGGGCAAGAACGCTGTAATTTGCTTTTTTACGTTTTTTTAGTAACGGAGTAATTGGACGCGTTATAATTTCCAAACTAGTAATTAGATTAGTTCCAAGCCGAAGTCTCTGTGCGTTACCGCTGCGTTACACCATTGCAGACAGAAACAGCCGCGAAAAATTCCACATCCAATTTAAAACCGCTGAAAGGGCAGCACGCCACGGCAAAACTTCTGGAGAAAGAACCGGGCGTGGAGAGCAATGCATCAATTCTACAGTGTCCAGTGCCAGTGGATTAGAGACCTGCACTCCCGCGGGACCCGACGCAGCTGATCAGGGGCGGATCTACCGGAATTATCACAGAATAAAATATATATGTAAGCAGTGTTTCATGTGCTACTTTTCAGCCGCGGCGATGACAGAGTAGCGCTAAATAATGGCAAAAACACGTCTTTTAATAAACTGTGCAGGATGGTTGCACGTGCACGCAGCGTGCCAGTGTAGTCGGCTTCATTAATAAATGACTCTTATGAACCGGTTCTTTTTGAGTCAAAACCACATAGCACGGCCCAGTTCACTAACACATTGTTTTTACATTTGTTCGTGAATCGGATAATTACTGCTTTTCAGGTAACTCAGAAGTCCTCTGAGAAATCTAA